AGAGAGAGAGAGAGAGAGAGAGAGAGAGAGCTTAGACATACCAAAAGTAGTTTACCAAAGTTGGGTTTGTCAGATGCGGGCCCTTTAGTGCAATCGCCGGCCCAACAAACCGGATATTGCCAGGCAATGGACAGCCCATCGAAACCGTATTTCTTGAGATATGCGATCGTATTCTTAATAAAACCGGCCCTCAGTTTGGGATCACTTACTATAGCGGAAAATAAATTATCGTAAATGACGGGTCCGCCCAACGAAATCAATGTTTTGAGTTTAGGGTTGCGTTTCTTTAGCGCCTTAACGGCACTGTATAGCGCGGGTCGGGCGGCGCCCGTGTGGTCGACGATTACGTTTTTATTGGCGTCCAATAAGTGAAAGGCTAAGTGAAAGTGTGTGCAAAGGGTTGGGTCGATGTCTTTGGGAGGAAAATTTTTCCAGTGGTCGTCGAAATAATAACAGACCACTCGTAGACTTACGCACAGCGATAACTGTGCGAATATCAGTGCAACGCATACCCAGACTTTCATTGTGAATGATGTTTGCAATTATGATGATGAATTTAATAATCCGGAAAACATTGCTACGAATTTTATATGTTTAGGTAATTTAATTATATTAAAAATGTTATTTCACCTGTTTCTTACATAAATCAAGTTAAAATTTTAATTATCTTTTTAATGACAAAATTTATTAACGATTTTCTAATTGACGTATATTGTTTTATAAAAATTAATGATCATTATTTCACAGTTTGCTCTTTTAAATATGTTCAAAATTATTAAATTGTTTTTTAATTAATAGTTACAAAATTTGTTAAACGTATTATTGTGTAAAATAATAATGTTCAAAAAATGCCAAGAGTGCACCCGGGAATTATTGTTATAAATCGAATGTACACTCTGTAGGAAGTACGGTGGTATATTTTATTTGGCCAGACGACCTCGGGTTTAGCCGCAGTGACCACTTGTATAGGGGAAAATTTGCATATCAAATCTTGTAGTTTATGAATAAGTATATCATATTATATATCAATGGAAAGGTATGGATGAGAGGAATTGAAATCTGAAGGATTTTTCCAAATCTGACATCATGGGTAAAAGTTATATCAAAATTAAGAAATTTAGTAACATTTATGCACGTTTTTTATATTATATAACGTAATTACTGTACATCATTTATATCAATTTAAATTATGCCCACAATGATAATTAATTTCGCAAATTAAAAACAAATAAAAAAATTAATATAAAATTTTTGGCATTTTACCAATTTACATTGAACTTTGTCCTTTGGTTATTTAATATGTTATTAAAATTTTAACTATTAAATATAAAAATATTTAATTAACTTGCCTAACAACACTAGGCTAAATTTAAAAATTTATAATTTGTTGCGATTTAAATACATAATTTACTATACAGTCAACAATCATAAAAACAGTTCTGATTTCATTTAAATTAAAATAAATATTAAAGTTATTTAAAATAGTAATTATTTTTTATAAATAAAATAACATAAGTTACAGTTTATTTATCACAATATTGTAATATTAATATTTGTATAGACTAAATTAAATAAAATTATAATTTATATATAATTAACTCGCTAAAAAAATATTTTTACAACATCTTTTTATCTATTTATGTTCGCAACCGTAAGTGGAGATTCCCTTTCCAGTGTTAAAAAGTACATTGTTAATCGCACGGAGCATTGGAAATCTGACCGTGCAACAAAAATGTCGGTCATCTTGGCCAATCTCCCACGCCAATACACCACCGTAACCATTATCTTTCACATACTTGGCCTTTCTACATTTCAAAATTAAAAAACATTTAATATGCTATTAATATATAAAAATAAATAAATACAACGTTTTATAATTATCACTAAAAAAGACACTCACATATAAACTTGCCATGGGTCATCATAGGTAACCAATATACTTCCATTATAAGCAATGGGATCATTACCATTTTTATTTCTTTCTTTAGTCCAGCCTTTATTTTTAACCAAATCGCATATTTCAGTATAATTAGCCATACCTCCAGCCCCGGCGGGTGTATTACCTACACCGGTAATGGGGGCGCCCACAGTGTGTTGAGTCGGGTCTTGTAAAGTAAACGCACGGCCGTGAAATGGCAACGATACCACTATTTTTGCTTTGGGCACACCACGGTCAACGTATGGTTTAACCCACGCGCCCGCTCTCATCATATCTCCCCAATGGTATACATTTTTGGTCACTCCTGGGGTCGCACCGTAAGCCGAAACGGTCAGGTAATCCACTGCTCTATGATTATTAAAATGTTATTGCATTATAATAGCATTATAAATAATTTTATTGGATATATATAAAATAATTTCTATACCCATTGAATTAAATGTTTGTTGTGTTCACTTACTTAGCAATAGCGGTCAGATCGTATGCTTTATCAGATGGACTGCCAGGATTTGAGCCCGCAATTGTGGCCGTCAGTAATAGCCGTGGCTTTTGCTTATTAAACGCTTGCCTTAATTCCTATACAATTAATAATTATCAGTGAATGAGAGAGAGAGAGAGAGAGAGAGATTTAATCATATTTTCCAATGTTTTCCTAACCACTGTTAATTGGCTTACTGTCCCATTTTCACTGGAATAGCTATAATAACTAAATTGAAACTTCTAAAAAACCTTGATTTTAAAAATAACGTACCGTCATTAATTTACCAAAATTGGGATTATCAGATGTGGGACCTTTAGTACAATCGCCGCTCCAACATACCGGCAGAATCCAATTCATGGATATACCATCGAAACCGTATTTCTTAAGATAAGCGATCGTATTCTTAATGAATGCGGCCCTCAGTTTGGGACCACTAATCATGGTGGACATGGGCTGATCAGGCATGCCCCATCCACCTAGCACCACCATTAATTTAAGTTTACTGTTTCGCTTTTTGAGTGCCTTTAAGCTGTTGTAGAGCGCGGGTCGGGCACTGCCGTGAGCGTCAAGTATCACATTTCTAGTGGCGTCCAACCAGTGAAACGCAAAGTGAATGTGTGTGCAAAGGGTTGGGTCAAAGTCTTTGGGCGGCAGATCCACGAACCGATACTCGGGGTAAAAACATATCACTCGCATGCATACCGACACCGATAACTGTGCGAATACAAGTGCAACGCATAGCCAGACTTGCATTATAAATAATGATTGCAATTATGATAATGAATTTAACTAGCATTAAATTCGGAAAAACGATGCATCAATTTTTAATCACTGTATATTATGTTTAAATAAAATTTTTATTTCACCTGTTTCCTTAATTAATACGGCTTATTTTTACTTTTAATTTTATTTTACTAATGAATCATTAGTAATGATTTATTAATTGATATGAATAACGTAAATTGATTTATAAACATTAATTATATTTACATTACAATTTACTTTATGAAATGTGTTTAAAACACATTTTAAAATTAATGAAATTGTTCAAATTGTTAAATGTATAACTTATAACCAATACATATATTTATTATATTATATTTATTATTTTTATCTTATCTTTATATTTATTACTTTTTACATCATATATATCTCACGTTTATCTATCACAATTATCTTATTAATTTCTAATTAGTTTATTTAAAAATAAAGTTGATTAAAATTAATTTTAATAACAAACAATCTATGTGAAAATAAATCATATAATTGGATAAAAATAAATCCTTATCTTGTTGTTTTCCCAAATTAGCTATACTAGAAATATTTTTAATGCAATCTAATACGTTACAGTTTGTGAAAAACATAACTATATTTAACCATATTTATCTAACTGCATTGTAATTAAGCTTCAGCAGAAGCATTTAATAATAATTACAAATTAACCAAACAAACTGTACATTTTTGGATGGGAATAAAGTAATTAATAAATTCTTAAATTAGGCACATACTAAAGGGTCCCTGACTTTAAAGGGACCCAGCAAAACATTCATTCGGTCGGTAGTTGGTGCAGCCTAACGCCGATTACATGTGGGCCCCGTATAGTGGGGCCCATCACTTTTTCCGTCAATTTTCACATTTTCACGGAAAATTTTATTTTTCAAAATTATCTTTAAAATATTGTTTTTTAATAAGAAAGTGATTTAAATGTCTTAAGATTTGCGTTTTTAAGAAAAAACATCAAAAATAATTTTCCGTGAAAATTTGAAAATTGACGGAAAAGTGATGGGCCCCACTAGACGGGGCCCCACATGTGATCGGCGTTAGGCTGCACCAACTACCAACTGAATAAATGTTTTGCTGGGGCCCTTTAAAGTCAGGGACCCTTTAGTATGTGCCCTTAAATTAAGATAACTAAATTTTTAAAAATCAATCTATTTATGTTCGCAACCGTAAGTTGAGATCCCTTTTCCAGTGTTGAAAAATACATTGTTAATCGCGCGGAGCATTGGAAATCTGACCGTGCAACAAAAATGCCGGTCATCCTGGCCAATCTCCCACGCCAATACACCACCTAATCCTTGATCTTTTACATACTTGGCCTTTCTACATTTCAAAATTAAAAAACATTAAATATGCTATTAAATATATAAAAATAGATAATAATAACATTTTATAATTATCATTAAAAAATACACTCACGTATAAATTTGCCATGGGTCATCATAGCCAAGCAATATATTTCCATTATAAACAAAGGGATCATTACCATTTTTATTTGTCTCTTTAATCCAGCCTTTATTTTTAACCAAATCGCATATTTCAGTATAATTAGCCATACTTCCCGCCCCGGCCGGTGTATTACCCACACCAGTAATGGGAGCGCCCACAATGTGTTGAGTCGGGTCTTTTAGAGTAAGTACGATGCCATAAAATGACAGCCCTACCACTATTTTTGCTTTGGGCACACCACGGTCAATGTATGGTTGAACCCAATTGTACGCCAACACCATGTTACTCCAATGGAATGCAGTCTTGGCTGCTCTCATAGCTGGAGTTGCCCCGTAAGCTATAATGGTCAAGTAATCCACTGCTCTATCATTATTAAAATATTATGACATTATAATAGCATTATAAAGGCTTTATAATAATAACTTTATAATAGCTTTATCAATAAATAATTTTATTAGATTAGTATTACATAATTTATATAGTGTTATATATTTGTGTTTACTTACTTAGATATAGCGGTCAAATCGTATGCTTTATCAGATGGACTGCCGGTATATGAGCCGGCAATTGTGGCCGACAGTAATAGCCGTGGCTTTTGCTTATTAAACGCTTGTCTTAATTCCTATACAATTAATAACTTATGAGTGAATGGAGAGAGAGAGAGANGTACTTACTCTAAAAGACCCGACTCAACACATTGTGGGCGCTCCCATTACTGGTGTGGGTAATACACCGGCCGGGGCGGGAAGTATGGCTAATTATACTGAAATATGCGATTTGGTTAAAAATAAAGGCTGGATTAAAGAGAGAGAGAGAGAGAGAATCATATTTTTCAATGATTTTCCTAACCACTGTTTATTGTAACAAAAGGCTCGGTGTACATTTTGGTGCGTAAATACTATTTTAGTCATATATAATGTGCACTGATATGAGTGGTGGGGTTTAATGAAAGTTGTGGTTCATATTAATATTAAACATAAATAATTTACACTTTAAAACCATTCACGTATATTTCAAGGGCAGGTAATGATTGGTTTAATTGTAACTTTTATAGTGTATCATAATTCATTAGAAATAAAAATTCTGCCGCTCCTTAGTTTATTGGCTTACAGCGACATTTCTAATTAAAATTTATAGAATAGCTATACTAACTAAATTAAAACTTTTTAAAAACACCATGATTTTAAACATAACTAACCGTCATTAATTTACCAAAGTTGGGATTATCAGATGTGGGTCCTGCAGTACAATTGCCACTCCAACACACCGGATACAACCAGTTCATCGATAAACCATCGAAACCGTATTTCTTAAGATAAGCGATCGTATTTTTAATGAACGCGGCCCTCAGTTTGGGACCACTAATCATGGCGGACATGGGCTCATTAGGCATGCCCGACCCACCTAGCACCACCATTAATTTGAGTTTACTGTTTCGCTTTTTGAGTGTTTTTAAGCTGTTGTAGAGCGCGGGTCGGGCACTGCCGTGAGCGTCAACGATCACATTTCTAGTCGCGTCCAACCAGTGATACGCGAAATGAATGTGTGTGCAAAGGGTTGGCTCAAAGTCTTTAGGCGGCAGATCCACGAACCGATATTCGGGGTAAAAACATATCACACGTAGACTTAGGCACAGCGGTAACTGTGCGCATACAAGTGTTATGTATAGCCAGACTTGCATTATAAATGATGATTGCAATTATGATAATGAATTTAACTAACATTAAATCCGGAAAAACAATGCAGCTAATTTTTAATCATTAGTTATAAAACTCACGCAAATATTTTATTTCACCTGTTTCTTAATTAATAAAGTTTATTTTTATTTTTTATTAAATCATTTAAATTTACTAATGATTTATTAATTAACGTAAACTGATTTATAAACAATAGTTACAGTTACATTATAATTTACTTTATAAAATGTGTTTAAAACCATTACATTTTTAAAATTAATAATTAAGATAAATTGTTCAACTTGTGAAATGTATAAATATAATTTAATTTGCTATTATTGCAAAATTTAAATTAATTTTATAGATAATTTTAATTGCATTTCTTAAAAATACTCGACTATGCCATTTATAAGCTAAATTTTAACCCTTGCTGAGAAATACCTATCCATGCATTTTTAAAACTACAATTCAGCTATCAGTATTGTTTACTACATTTATATACATACAACCAAAAACTGTAACTTAAATTATAAGTTTGATTTAAACATAAACTTAAAATAATAAGTATTTATTTATGAATTTCAAATCAAATCAAACTTTATTGTGATTCACATCAATAAATATTATTAAAACATATATTTTATTAATTTTTAAATAAAAGTTCATTTAATTGACATTTATAAATAAAACTATTTATGTTCGCAGTTATAGGCGGATGGTCCCTTTCCAGTATTAAACAGAGCATTATTAATTGCCCGGAGCAATGGAAATTTCACCGAGCAGCACTTTTTCTGATCATCCTGGCCAATCTCCCACACCATTATACCGCCAAAGCCATGGTCTTTGGCCCATTTGGCCTTGCTACATTGCGACATAAATAAAATAAAATCTTACAACGAGATTACACAGCACTTACTCATAGGCCTGGAACGGGTCGTCGTAGCCAACCCATATATTATCGTGATAAGCGTATGGGTCGCTACCATAATGGGAATTTCTCAGCTTGGCCCAGCCCTTAGTTTTAACTAGATCACATAGTTCGCTGTACATGGACTCCCCATTGTCGCCGGCAGGTGTGTTGCCCACACCCGTAATGGCATTTCCCGCATAGTGTTTGGCCGGATCTGTCATGGTGAAGCCGCGGCCATAAAACGGCACACCCATCATGATCTTTTGTTTGGGAAAGCCTTTTGCCACGTACGGCATAGTCCAATTCAAAAACAGGCCAAACGCACCATGGTGGCCTAGTTTTTTGTCCCACACGCCGTGCATGTCGTACGTCATGACACACATGTAGTCCAGCGCTCTATCGTTATGGGAAATGTTTACAAATTAATTTGAAATTCCGATCATAACAATTTTTGCTCATGATATGAAAGTAAAACTAATAAGCAATTAAAACTATGATTGATGAATTTATTATAATAAAATAATTTTATTAAATATAATTTGTGTTTCACTTACTTAGCCATCGCTGGAATATCGTAGGCCACATCATATCTGCCAACAATAGCGACCGATACAGCGGCCGACAATAATAGTCGCGGTTTTTGTTTAATAAATGCTTGTCTCAATTCCTATGCAATTAAAGTTTTATATATAAGTTTTATTTAAAAATAGTCATTTGGAGAGAGAGAGAGAGAGAGAGAGAGAGAGAGAGAGAAATTTGTATAACATACCAAGAGTAGTTTACCAAAGTTAAGTTTATCAGTTGCGGGTCCTTTAGTACAATCGCCGCCCCAACAGACCGGGTATTCCCAGTCGAGGTCCAGACCATCGAAACCATATTTCTTTAAATAGGCGACAGTATGCTTGATGAAGGGGGCCCTCAGTTTGGGATCATTAACCATGTGGGAAAAGGGTTGGTCAGGCATCCCATACCCGGCCACCGCTACCATTAATTTTAGTTTAGAGTTACGTTTTTTGAGTGTCTTTAACCTATTGTATAGCGCGGGTCGGGCGCTACCGGTGCTGTCGACGATCACATTATGAGCATCGTCATATTTGTGAAACGAAAAGTGAATGTGAGTGCATAGGAGAGGGTCAAAGTCTATCGGCGCTAATGTTTTTAGCCGATAATCGGGGTAATAACAAATTACACGGGGTATGCATATTGTAACCGATAACTGTGCGCATACTAGCGTTGCGTATAACAGGATCTTCATTATAAGTGTTTTTTATACATTTATGTAAAAATCTAATTAACATTATCTGGTTAAATAAAGCATCGAATGTTACATGATTTTTTATTACGTAAAAGTGGTATTTTACATGTTTGCTTATTAAACTAATTAAATTTTATAATTACTTTTTGTTTATTCTATTTAAACAGATTTTTAAATTGTACTTATTGTACATTGTACAATTGTACTTATTATTTAACAATTTTTATTAAATATTCTCAAAACTAAAATAATTACTTTAATAATTAAAAATATTAAAAGAAAAATCATATAAATTTAAATACTTATTTATTTAATATTTAGAGCAAGCATAATTTGCTTTGAATTGTAAGTGCACAGTAGATGTTTACATTTTGTTTTGCTAATTGTAGCTCTGAAAATATTAATACAAACTGTAAATTGGTTTAAATAAATCATAAAGTAAATGAATTAAAATTAGAATTTTTATTTTGTGGGTTTACTCAGTTAGTGAATGTTTAATTAAACAAGTTCACTATTTTATATTGTATTTTAAATTAACAACTAATTGCTAATAACATAGAATTACTTACTAAAAAATTTTAAACATTAATTTACACATTACAAAATAATCAGTGTTAAAAATAAAACAAATCATATTTATTAACAATTTATTTATGCATAAAATTTATTTATTTATGATGAAAATAGTTCAATAGTGTTACAATTCAACAAAATGTAACAATTGAATTATTTCTTTTCGCAGCCATAACTATCAGGTGCTTTACCGGTACCAAACAGACCATTATTAATTGCCCGGAGCATTGGGAATTTCACCGAGCAACATGTGCCCTTAACGTCATCCTGGCCAACTTCCCACATGATTATACCGCCGTAGCCATTGGCCTTTACCCATGCGGCTTTGCTAAATTATGAAACAATTCAATTAATTACATAGTAAAAAATAAACACAGTTGTCCTAAAAGTAAAATCTTAAAACAAAAACTCACTCAAAAGCTTGATATGGGTCGTCATAACCAAACCATATTTTACCATTATAGGCAAATGGGTCTTTGCCATTAGCTCGCTCCTTTTTCCAGCCCTTATTCTTGACTAAATCACACATTTCGCTGTAAAGTGCGGTGCCGTCAGCGCCGCCGGGCGTATTGCCCACACCTGCGATGGGGGCGCCGGTCGCGTGTTGTGCCGCGTCTTTCAGTGTATACCCCCTGCCATAGAAGGCCACTCCGACCAACACTTTCTCTTTTGGGAAACCTTTCTCTACATATGATTTGCTCCATTCGGTCGACCGTTTAAAGTCCGAGTGATGGCCAGTCTTCTGGTCCCACACGCCGGCCAAGTCGTACGTCATTACGCACAGGTAGTCCAGCGCCCTGTCATTAGCGCAATGGACACACAAACAAAAATGTAGTAATGTATATTAGTACATGTATGCTTAGTATTGTTGGTTATTATTTATATTTATTATAAATTGTGTATCTCTATTGCATACTTAGACAGGGCTGGGATATCGTAGCCTTTATCAATGGCACCGCCGGGTAGACCCGCCTGGACTGCAGCGGACAGTGACAACTTTGGGCTCTCCTTATCAAATGCAGCCCTCAATTCCTATTCAATGAAATGACAATTAAAATATTTAAATTACGAGAGAGAGAGAGAGAGAGA